TTACCTACTATACAATATTTCTACATATATGCAGATGTCAAAGCTATCTGTGATACTTAAAAACAGATGAAGAAAAAACTCCTTACTCTAGTAGCTAGCCAAAATGGAAACTGAATAGCATGCACCATGAGATTTAATTTCAGAATGCAATAGATTTTCTTATTAACATAGGAAGTCAGAGCAAAAATCACTATATATAGAAGCATAAATATATAATGCTATTTCTAGATATCTCTGTATTAAAATTGAAAATTACAAAAGTTTTTTTCCATATTCTAGAATATCTTATAATTTTTTAAAAAAGGATCAGAAATAGATGACAATTAGTACTGCTTGAAGGTTATCAATGACCTGCCTATGTTTATTTCAGTGTCATCTCCAATTTGCTAAGGGAATCATAGAATCATAGAACTAGAGTTAGAAGGTACTTCAGGGTCCATCTAGTCCAACTCCTTTATTTTACAGATGAGGAATTTGAGGCTCAAGGAGATAAAGTGGCTTGCCCAAGATCACTCAGGTAGTTAAGGATCCGAAGTGGGATTTAAACTCAGGTTCCTCTGACTTCAGAGCCGATGCTCTTAATACTGTACTGAAAATTTGTCTATTTTCAGCATTTTACTGTTATCACCTACTCATTTTTAGTTAACTCACTTTGGCTTTAACAATTTAATCATATAAGGTATTGTTATTAGTTAATGTCATAGCATAATTAAATACAAAAAATTTTTGTTTCATTGCAATTATTATCTATTGAGGAAAAAAATCAGAAATCAAGAATTTAATGCTCAAGAAATAATGAAGTCTTCCCTCTCCCAACCGTACAGAAGATTACCCTTACTACAGAAGGTCAACTCAGAATTTGATCTCTTATTATTATCACTATTACTATTATCACTACCTATAGTAGGTAGAACAAGCAAACTATCAGTCTTCAAAATTACAGATTTTGTCAAAATTATTGACAAAATAAAAAAGCAATGTCCAGGAGAGAAAATAAGACTAATTGTACACTGATGACGTAAATGTCATAAATACATTAAGAATAATATTGGATAGAGCACTGGATGCCCATTTTATAATACACCTATCACATAGTAAATGTCTCCTGGTCTTTGAGAGGGTTGTCTCAAAGTTTCATGAACAAGAATGTGGAAAAAAGCAAACTACATCCACACAAAGGCAAGTAAAAAATTACCCAGAAAGTAGTATAAAAAGATTAAGAAAAAATGATTTATTCAGAACTCTACCAAATTTAAGTCTCCAATTTCTTTTCCCACCTACTTCACAAATGCTTGCTGATTCTACCATAGTTTCAGCCATGCTGACTCCAAATTCTGTGCAATTTGGTTTGCCATTTGAGGCATGTACAATTGTAAATCACGGCATTTACTCTTTCTACGGGGGACGACTCAGCTCTCAAAAGGTAGTTTGTTTTTAAGTACGTCGCCTAAAATTAGAATATGCTTTCACAAGACGCCATGATTATACTATAGTACTCTAAAAATCCATATTTTCCACATGTCACAGAATCATAGGGCGAAGCTCTAAAGTTACAAAAAACCTCAGAGGTCATCTAGTCCAACTTCATCATCATAAAAATGAGGAAACTGAGGTCCAGGGTTGTTAATCAACTAGTCCAAGCTATGTTTAGCCAAAAGGATAATTACCATTCCCCTTCTGACTTTCCAGACTTGGACCTATGCCAAAGCTACATTCTCACACTGGAGCTTTCCTAAGTGTCTAGAGCTTCTTTACCCTGAAACATCCAACCCTGTTGTCTTCCATCCTGGAACATCCCTCTACCATAGCAGTTTGCTTCTCCCTTCTCCCACTGGTGAGTTTCTGCTGAGACCTCCATTTTGAGGAAGGGCCTAGGACAGCCAACCTTCATTCCCCACAGGGTTGTACTTTTGACTCTCTCCTCTTCCCACCCTACACCCTCACTTTCCCCCACTTTTAGCTCCCTTTTGCATGTTTTCTTCCCCCATTAAAATGTAAGCTCCTGGAAGGCATATATTTTCTTTTTTACTTGTACTTCAATCCTTACCCCTTAGTACAGAGCCTGGCATATAAGTGCTTAAGAAAAGCTAGATATCTGTTGCCTCCCTACATAGCAGGCTTTTTAAATTGATTCTTTTTTTCTTTTAATAATAGTCTTTATTCAAATAACTAGACATAAACACTAAAGAATGAATCAATCCCAAAGAATATTATTTTTAAAAATCTAGGGTACTTTCCCTACTAACCCTTATGAATAACTGCTTAATCTAACTCTTTATTTTTACATTTAAAATCTAAAATCTCTAAAACCTCTAAAATCTGGCTACCTGTGTAGACTTATTTCCTATTATTCTCCAGATACTCAATGTTCCAACCAAACTAGTCTATTCACTGTTCCTTGAACTTAACATTCCATCTCTAGCTTCCCTGCTTTTACCCTAGCATTCTCCACCCCTCTAATATGGTTCCCCTTGGCCTCTCAGAATTTTAAGCTTTCTTGAAGGGCTCTGCTTATGTGCTACCTCAGAAGTAAATCTCTTACAGATCCCCCCTGATCATTAGTGTTTACTTCTCAAATCATCTGGTATTTTCTTATCAATTTATGTTGCTACTTCCAGTAGAATAAGGACAGACTTTCCTCTTTACTTTTGTTCTTGTATCCCCAGGGCCTAGCACAAAAGTTTGAGAACAGCAGTCAACAAACAAATGAATTGTTGAACTGAACTGGATATGTCTGTTAATGATAAGTTATCCTAATCAAATATTGTGTAGTATATTCATATTACCAAGTTATATATATTCTAAGCCTACAGCTAAAAACAAGTTTTAAATGATTCTAGGGTTTTCAAAACAAACTAAAATCAACTTTATATTTAAGTGATTACTAAGGTTGGAGAACCTAAGTCCTCCAGTCAAAATCTCCCAAATCATAAGTGAGGGCTACTTCTTCCTTCCTGAGTAAAGTGTTATCATTATCTTTTTCTTTCTGAAATGGCTTTAAACCGAAGTAATCTTTCAACTATAACGAGTGCAAGATATGCTGAGTATAATTTAACTCACTGAGAAGTACAGTAAAACTTTCTAAAAACAAAACATTGAAATATTTCCACAATGAGCTAGAGGGCTATAGACCAAAGCAAATTAAAAAAATAAAATAAAAAGAATATAGGGACCAGTAAAACAAAAGCCAAAAGCACAGATCCCTGTCCTATCAAACTTAGGTAGACTTTTTTTGGATCTCTTGGAATTTCCTCTTTAAAGTGAAAAATAAAACCCTATGAATGTAGTCTTCTAAAATGTATATCTTCTGCAAGAAATATTAAACAATTTTGTGATCCAAAGAGATATTTTACATTATAAAACAACCAAAGGATCAAGATTTTTTTAAATATCAAAATATACAACAAACAGTAACCAAGAATAGGATTCCTAAACTACTTTAAATGTGTTTCATATACTTTTAGTAAATGAGGTAGTCATTACTGCTTATAAATACCTCGACTGCTTCCATAAAAATACAAATAATTTAGCACAACCTAACAACACCTAACATTTCTCAGGTACAAATCATGATGTCATACAGTTCCAGGGGAAAGGGAGGTGAGGGGAAATAAGTATTTATATAAGCAGCTATTATGTGCCAAGCCCTATGCTAAGCACTATGCAAATATTATCTCATTTGATTTGAGAAATGAGGATGAGAGACCTGGGAACAGATTGTATTTTCTTGACTAGATATTTATTTTGAAATGTCATATGTTTCTTCAATAAAAATTTAGGTTTTATTAAATCATTAAGCTGTTTAATTAAAAGTTATAACTTCAATACTCATTTTTGCTATGTAAAAAAACTTGCAAGGAGAAAATACAAATGAGACTACAGATAACACGACTGTAAACCACAGTCATAAAGAACTTAGGTCTTTCCAAGTCCACACCTATGTAGTAACAGTAACTGACTTGTTGTTACAAAGTCAATTGTTTTCATATATTATCTCCTCTTCATGCCTTTTCCCCATCCAATCATTAGAAGTCCATCTACCTACAAAGTAAACCCCTTAAGAAGCAGTTTTTATTCTTCTGTTCATCTGTCAAAACATTTTACCCTGTAAATCCTATTCAAATCAGGGGGAAAATTTTTCCTTTTTTTAAAAAAAAAAAAAAACCAAAGGCTGTTAAGTCAACTTGGCGGCAAATCTAAAGGCGCCAGAACAGGCTCACATCTTGCATAAACTTCTGCACATGCTTTAAATATAGCTGGTCTGCCTCACTCCTACTCTTAGCTTGCTAACTTAGGAAGTACCTGAACACATCAGCTACTAGCAATTCTATCGCTTTTCATAATCTCTTCCAAAATGATTTTTAAAAATGATTCTACTTCTGAGCTGCAGGATTATTTTTTTTTTAACTCTAGGAGACACACAGGAAATAGAAACATTGCTATCTCTGCCATTGAGCCATCATCCTGGGTCACGACTGCAGCGCCAAGAACTCATCTTTTGGGTTTGAGTCAAGATTCACTTTTGGCACCAAACTCCGTACAGTATTATAAAGAGAAAGATGCAAATACAATCCCCTCCTTCCCTTTCAAACCAAACTAGTTTCCTGTTTACAACCGGATTGCGAAACTAAACCAACCATTAATCTTTGATGCCAAAACACTGCAAAGCCCCCTTCCTCTTCCCACACCTCCCTCTAGGCTCGCTGATCTCAGATGCGTTTGAACTCCAGTAACCCCTAGCAAAGCTAGAGCTGCAAAAGAGGCGGCGCAGCCGCCTCGGGCTGGGGGATTACGCACGGTAAACCTGGGCGAGGAGAGGAAGCGCTGGAACCCCACCTCCCATGGCCAACCTAGAGCCTTCCCAACCGCACACCCCAAACTCTCCTTTCTCCAGCTGCAGTAAAGGGTTTTAGGGGGGAGGTCTGACTAAAAAATTCAACTGTCTCCTCCCCACCTCCATCGTCCTCTTCCCCTCTCTGGAGAAGGGTATATCTTTCCTGATGGGAAGGCGAGAGGCCCTTGGTGGGAAAAGCACAGAGTAGAAGAGGAATCGAGTAAAGATCGGTTTGAGTGGGTTTAGAGGGGGGGGCCAGTGAAGAGTGAGTTTAAAAAAAAAGATACCCCCATCCAGATGAAAGGAGTTCGGGGAGGGGAGAGTGCGAGGAGGGCTGCGAAGGGGCCAAGTCCCCATTAGAAAGCCCCCCTCGCCTGCCCCTCTCCCCCTCCCCAAATCCCAACCCTCAGAGAGAGATGGGAGGGGGCGGCGCGGGGGTCAGGGCCGCTGATTGCCGGACGAGGCCTGAGGCCGGAGGCAGAGCCGTGCGGGGCTGGAGGCGGTTCGGAAAGGGATGCGGGATGGAGGGAGCTGGGCCGGGGAAGGAGGATGAGGGGAAGGAGGCAGGCGAGACGGGGGGCGGCTCGCGGACGCGGGGGGAGGGGAGAAGATGCTAAAGAAAGTGATGGGGGGAGGGGGCGAAGGAGGGCCCCGGGTCGGGGGGGGGAGACCGCAGGGATTTCCGAGGGAGGGGGCAGGGGAGAAAGGGGGATGGGCAGCAGGATAGGGGGGCGGCTGGGCTTCGGTCACCTCAGGGCCGCAGCCTCGGGGGAGAGGGGGCGGCAACGGCGACGCCGCCCGGCGGGCTCTCGGGCTCCCTCCCCGGGTCTCGGTCGGTCAGTGTAGGAGGAGGCGGCGGCGGCGGGTCCGGGCTCGGTTCAAAGAGGCGGCTCCTCGCCCGGCCTCGGCTGTTCCCTCTTGGGCCGCGGCATGAGCCCGGTGGTCACCATCCTCCGCTCCCGCGGGTGCCTCTGACCCCGCACTCCCGGGCCGGGCCCATCAGCAGGCGGCCGCGGCCATAGCCGGTGCCTCCCGGCGCGTCGGCTCCTCCGCTCACTCGCTCCCTCCCGTTTTCCCCCCTCCCCCTACCCCTCCCCCTCAAGGGCTCTGCGGCGGCGGCGGCGGCGGCTCCCGCCTCCTTCCCTCCCTCCTGACTCCGACTGCGCCTGCGCGCTGGCAAGGCAGGCCCCCGACGAGCCCCTCCCCCACACCCCTCTGCTCCCAGGAGTCCTCGTCCCCCCGCCCGAGTCCCTTCTCCCTTCCCCCCCCCTCCACCGCTGGGCACAACTGGCTCCTGTGCTCCCACCCACGGTGTTGCTACAGGTCTATGAACAACCCCCTGATACACAAGCCCGGATGCGTAGCGCATTTGTGGAGTTGTGAAGCACACAACAATGACACGTGGACACAATTCCCCACTCCCCCCCTTCTCCCTCCCCCGCGTCCCCCGCCCCGCACCCACATCGCGGGGACTGGCGCACATTGACATGGGCTCGCCTGCGTTCCTGAACCCGACACATAACGCGTACACACACTCATGCAAAAAAGCAGCGACTTGAGCTACATGAAAGGTCTGTTAGGAGAATATTTTTTTATTTTCTGCCTTTGTTGCGGTTCATTAATTTCTGAGGGGAACAGGATCACGGGATTCTTTGAGGGGGAAAAAAAAACCAACAACTTCTATTTGGTTGCAGCTCATCGATCACTCATTCTTGCCATGAACTCACCACTTATTCCTCCGAGAATCCGGCTTTAGTTAAAATGGAATAGTAACGCCTGGATGTTGTCTTTAGGTTCTCTCTGTAGTTTAGCCTGAAACAAACTGAGGTTTAGGTATTAATTGATAATGATGATGATGATGCTAGTGCTAAAAGTTTTTCACTAACCCCATTTTTCAGCTAGCAAAGAAAATGAAAGTTTCAATCTTGTTCACAGAACTTAAGAGTTGGAAAATAACTGTTTTAATTTTTTTCATCTTTGGTTAATCCCTAGAGAGATGAAAGAAAGAAAAAGAAAGGAAGGAAAGAAGACAACAAGAAAAAACAAAATTTAAAAAAAAAACCTTTTCTCTGCCTTTGAGTTAGGTAGGTTTTACAAAAATTTCTACTTTTATCCGGTATGGGTGTGATAACCTACATATTATTCGAAGAAGTCAATAAAGTGAATTTCAAAAAATCTTTATTTCAGAAACATGACCCACTTGGTATTTCAGAAATTATGAGTGGTGTGGTATAGATTCAGACCCAGTAAAAAAGGGTATATGGGGAGTTCATCAATGTGTAGAACTCCTAGTGTTGAAATTCCCTCAGCTAACAAGGGCAATTTAGAGAACTGCTTGGAAAACTAAGTACTTACCCCAAGCCACATAAATAGTATTTGTCAGAGACAGACTGTGAACCCAGGTCTTCCTGACTAGGAGCTAACCCTCTCTCCACTTAGAACACTCTGCCTTAATAAATAGGATCATAAATCCAGAGCTGAAAGGGACTTTGGCTGTTGTTTAGTCCACATAAGGAAATAATAAAAAAAGTTAAATAATTTTCCCAGGGACATATAGGTCAAAGTCGAGATTCAGACTCAGGGCCTGTGACTCTAAGTTCATGACTATGAAAAAATCTAAATTTGCCTTGCTTATTGATTCTCCTGTATAGGTGATTTAAATTTCAGGGAACTTCTGAAGTTATAAGTGAGACATAGTGTACATTGATTGACTTGTTTTAGGAGTTTGAAGCTATTTTGTTAAAATTTCAGATCTTCAACTTCTCTTTTTTAAAATGGCTATCCCATAGTCGTCAATATTCCATTACTCCAATAGAGGGAGAGAACCATGCTCACCTAGTCTAGCTAAAATTACTGCCTCAGACACTAATTGTGTGACCCTGGGTAAGCTACTTACTGCCTAGTTTCCTCATATGTCTCTCTCACCTCCCCTATCCAATCTGTTGTCAAGTCTTGTTGATACTTTACTAACCTCTCTCATATATGTACCATTCTCTCCCCTGACAAAGCCACATCCCTGGTACAGGCCTTCATCACCTCACACCTTGGCTAATGCAATAACCTGCTAGTTGGTCTCTGCCCTAGTCTTTCCCCACAATAGCCAGTCATTCGTTCAGCTTTCAAAGTGACCTTCCTAAAGGGCAAGTCTGACTGTGCCATCTTCCAACTCAAATAACCCGAACACCTCTAGGATCAAATACAAAATCTTGGATTTGGCATTCAAAACCCTTCATAATACCCATACACACACACACTCTCTCTCTCTCTCTCTCTCTTTCTCTCTCTCTCTCTCTTCCAATCTTCTATACCTCACATCTCTGTGATCTAGTGACACTGGCTTCCTTGCTGTTCCTCAAACAAGATACTTCATCTCACAATTCCTGGCTTTCTATTGCTGTCCACACTTAAAATTCCTAATTTTATATTGCTGTCCACACTTAAAATGCCCTCTCCAAAAATGCATCCCCACCTCTTCTCTTCCTTCGCTTCTTTCATATTTCAGCTAAAATCCCACCTTCCACAAGAAGCCTTTTCAGCTCCCCTCCTTAATTCTGGTGCCTCCCCTTTGTTGATTACCTCCGATTTATCTTGTATATGTCTTGTTTGTACATAGTTGTTTGCATGTTGTCTCCCCTCTTAGACAGTTGGAAAAAAGGAATTGTCTTTTGCCCTTTTTTGTATTCCCAGGGCTTAGCACAGTGCCTGACACTTAGACAATTAATAAAAGTTTATTGACTAGACTAAAATGAGGGTAACAATAGCACGTATCTCTCAGGCTTGTCGTGAGGATCAAGTGAGGTGATAATTGTAAAGGGCTTTGCAAACCTTAACATACCACATAAATACTATTATTATGTGCATTTCTAGGTCTCAGTTTTCTTATCTGTAAAATGGGGGGAGGGAGGAGAGGTTGGACTAGAAGACTTCTGAGGTCTGTCCCAAATAAATCTTATGACCAGTAACATCCCAGTCTGGTAGGTAGTCTATCAAGCCATATGTTCAACCAAGTAGAAATATCTCATGGCAGATAGGCTCCACCAGAAAAAAAACAGCAAGATAAAAAGTATAATCTTTTTGGGTACACTCTTTTATGACAACTTTAGTACTCTGCTGAGAAAATGAAATGGCACAAAAGACAACTATATAAGACACATAATCCACATTACTCTGTATTTCAGTTGGATTTACTCTTTCCTACTAAACCAGAGAGGCAGTTTTATAAAATACTGCTGAACTACTATTGTTGAACATCTTTCTAAATGTTTAAGGGGTTAACTCCCACCTCATAGAAAGTACTTCATAAATTGTAAACTTTTTAAGAAAAAAAAAATACATCAGAGCCCTATAACTCCCACTGTCATAAAACTGCTGTTGTAAAACATGAAAAGGTCATGTGCCTTTTTCTCCTTTCATTTTCATAGCTGCTATCCATAAATATAAAATGCTGAAGTTCAAAACAGCAAGCAAGGAAAATTACCCTGCAGTGTGTAATGAAAGGGTTACTACTATTACATTGCTGCCAGTCCAGTTATTCAAAGACTCCTTATCTTCAGGAAGAGATAACCAACTCAAACTATTAAAAAAAAAAACCAGAAAGAAAAAAAAAAGGATGAAAAACAAAAACTGAATGGGAGAGAGGGTATAGAACTTGGCATGAAAGGGTACGATCTTAATTTCTCAGATATTTTGATGACTGCCATACCCACTGACCAATATGTTATAAAGAAAAGCATGAAGAAGAAAATTTTCCTTGTTGGTAATTCCTCAATAAAGTTCTAGGAAGTGAAAGAAAGCTAAGACATATATCTAAAATAAAATACCCCAAGGTGCTATATGGAGAGAAGAGAAAGGTTAAAGGGCAAATGCTTTCAGGCTTCAAAGCTTATCACCCCACACACTAAATGGTTGTAAAATCAAGCTGTAAATTGCAGCAATGTTTAGAGAAAGTGTATTTGTTTCAGCAAATCAAGCCTCATTCAGAAAGGCCAGTTACTGCTTTCCATACAAAACTGACTATTGCTAATGGCACATCACAGAGAAATAGTCCTTTGTAGCAAATTCTGTCTGAGATAATTGATCTTTAGTCTGTAGCAAATTCTTTCTGAGATAATTGATCTTTAGTCTTTTATGCCCTGTCATTTGACTCTGGCAGTATTTCATATAGCAGACTTCTTGTGGTACATCATATAATGGAGTCAGATTGTTGAGAGAACTTGGATATGTGACCTTGAGGATTTGGGGAAAAGGCCAATTTTTCTTCAGTCAGCAAATATTTACTGAGTGCCTACTGTATGCAAAGCATTGCACTAATCAATCCAATTCTAATATAGTAATGAGACTCATTAGAGGCAGCCTGGCATAAGAGATAGAAGGCCAGCCTTGGAGACCAGAAGAACTAGATTGATATTGTACAACAGGCACATGTTATCAGTGTAACCATGAACAAGTCACTTAACACTTAACAACTCTATAAAACTGGAAATTACAGAAAAGGGTCTGGTCTATATTGATAGAGTGTTTCCTTTTTAACTCATAGATTTAGAATAACAAAGGACATCAAAGATCAGATGAGGAAACAGGCCAGGGAAGTTAAGTCATTTGCCCATGGTCACTCAGACCATGTAAGCAACAGAAGATAAAATTTGAATTTGTGTTTTGATTCCAAATCCAACTATCTTTCCACTGTACCATGTGGCCTCTCTTCATTGAGAGTTTTCTTTCCAAATGAGATCATAGGTCTGGACAAAAAAAAATTTTTTTTCATATAGATTTTAAACCTGCAAGAGACCTGAGAGCTCATCTCCGACCCTTCATTCTATTAGTGAGGAAACATGTCCCAATGGTTCAAGTGTTTTGTCCGGGAGTCACACAGCTACGAAGTAGCAAAGCCAGGACATTAACCTAAGTTTTCTGACTCTAAATTCAATATCCTTTGCATTGTTCAATGTACTTCTATTTATTTTTGGACAATACCCCTGAATGTTTTATTTTGAAATTCTTCAGGTTATTTTCTGGGGTTTTTTTCTTAGAATAAAAACTTGTATGAAAAATAACTAGCATCTACATAGTACTTTACATGTTATTTCATGTGGTTCTGCCCCTATTGCAAACATTTATGACTTTAACACATAATTTAACTTAATTTCAGCTCAATGAATTGAATGAATTTTATGAATCAAATGAAATGAAATGAATTCAATTTATTAATTCAATTCAAATATTTGAAGCCTTTTCTGTGTATCAGACCCATTATATAGGCACTGTGGTGTACAATCCAAACTATAGTTTTATTTCTGTGATGTACCATTGACAATCTCTGTTCTACTCAAGATAGAGATTATGTAACAACTTCCTAGTAATATTCAAAAATAACCTACTTTGGG